ATGGTGTGACACACCTTCACCATAACAAGGAGGGTCTATGCAGCATCACATACACATTCTTAACAAGTTCTTATAAATATCTCACATGTTACTAACCAAGATTAGAGGTGTGGTCTAAGGCTGAGGCAGACAGTGACACTAACTAGCCTGTCCATAAATAGAATGAGTGGTTTTGGTCTGTGTCATAACTAACTGACTTTGAAACTTAAGCTGCATCACTAGCTGGTAGCAAAGAGGTTTACTGATTTTGATGAATGGCAAAAAGGATTTTTCAACTGGTAGAGTTTTTCGGAGACCGAATGCTCATTTGTTGGAAATACGGAGCGAAGACATTCAAGTGTCTTTTATTTACCCAACCATTTTGTGCATCAATTATGTCCCAAGTGCCAAAGAAGCAACAATGAGTAAAACAGATATGGTCACTGCCACCCAGGGAGCTTACAGTCTGTCTGTGAAGAAGTCACCTCTTACCTTCAGAGTCTTTGAAAATTCTGCTTCTTCCTCCAGGAGGAGAACTGAGTCCTCAAGCTGTTCGTTTAGTGCCTGTTACCCCAGAGCTTCCTGTCATACCAGAAGCCTATGTCTTATCATTCTTGCTGCAGCGTTCACTGTGATGGTAGAGGCATGCTCGGGAATACCTTAAAAGTTACTGAAGTAGAAAGAACAGAATGCCAGTTCCTTGAATAACAGGCTTCGGGAAACGTGTAACTTGCGAACTCTGGGACAGAGCAATATTATTTACTATAACTGCTATTCTGTTTTCAATTCACCATGTTGTTCCAGTCATTCCCTTTGTGTAACGAACTTCAAATAATGACGAAGCAAGCAGGCAGTTAGCATTCTGAGAAGTAGATTTTAACTTGGCTGTATCTCCGGTGTGGGAAGAACTGCTGTAAAATCAAGGGTTTGTGGTCATTTACATTCAGACGTTGCTGACATGCTGTATGAATTATATGCAGAGCAGAAGTCAGTCAAGATCTGTTCAGATAATGACCAAAATGAGTCTAGATAGATGGCATTTTAATGGGTATATTTAAGTGATACTGAGCTCAGACATGAAAAGTGCCCCAGAGAATTAAGTAGAAGGTCCTGGCTTGGGATGCAAACCTAATCCAAGTTCCAGTCCAGTGGTGGCCTCCTCTCAGAACTTTCCCCAAACCATGAGTCTGTGTGAGGTGCCCAACCCCTGCGGTCCCTGGCTTCCGGCACCAACCTCCATCGTTT